ATTAATAATTAAGTTCTGTTTAAAATCACCCACAATAACATCAACGTTTTATATAACAAGCAAGCAACTTACAGCTGCTGCCAAGCATTTCATGTCAGATATAGATAGATAGACAGACAGACAGACATGAGATACAATCTGGGAAAACATACAAAATATTTAACAACCACATATTACATACCAACAAGGAGCCAAACCACATTTGAGTTATGTTCAGTAAGGAAATTTTCCAGCTGAGTGATACTGGGAACAATACTAACATTAGTATTTCTGTCCATTCTTAGAATATTGCAGCAGGGTCTAGATGACTGAAAGGATGAAAACAAATGGAGTATCATTAAAAAGTGCTGTTGAGATTATTTGTTTGATACATATAAGGAAGATCAACTACTCTGAAATTAACACACAAATTGCACATAATGGCATTTAAGTAGAATGTGTAGGATGGCAGAAGTGCTATTTAACTCAGTAGGAGTTAATAGGGAGAGCTTTCATGACAGAGCAATAAACACCACACAGCAGGAAATGGAGTGGTGAATTACTTACTAAAATAAAGAGTTAATAATGAGATGAAAATAATTATCTTGCCTAACTCAAACTACATGTTATATTAAATATGTGATCACCTTTAACATTTAAGTTTATTTTCCTTTTTAAAATAACAGCTGCTAGGGGCCCTGATCAAGACTGGGGTCAAAACATTCTCTTGGCCTGTGATATATCCAAACAAAAATAACTTCCTAAAAACCATCTGTTCTTCAAATAAAAGCTACAATGAAAAAGTTTCAAGTACACATATTTGCAAAGCTTGCTGCAGCAAAGAATCCAATAGTAACTGAAACATTAACACAATTTTTTATGGCACATGCTTTTGTGAACTGGAGACAATACTATTGTTCCAAACAAGGTGAAGTATGATTATGCAATTTCTAGTGCAAAAGAAAACTCTAATAGACTAGTGTATTAGTCAATGACAGTCCATTGTAACTGATTTACTAGGACTACTCTATAGCATACATATTCTAATGTTTGACAACTGGAAAGGTGACCAAGAAATGATTTAGGCAGTTGCCACACACATAGTAGAGCCATCCCCTCCCCCAAGGAAGGAGGATAAATGTAGTCCCTCACCCTACTGGTGTTTATCCATGCACCTAAAGATGTCTGTGATTTCAGTTTGAATACTGATAACTACATGGGCACAACCATATAGTTTTCTTATGTTATGTCATGTTCCTCTGTGCACATCAAAGATTTGTACAGAGATGTTTCCTCTATCCTGGCCTTTATGCCGATGAACATTTTGGGCAAGTTTAGAGGATATATATGGCACTATCTGATTATGCAATGAGCACAAAGTTATCTGAAAGCAAGCAGGCTAAGGGATAGTGTGATAGATGTATTTCCCAGAATAAACTATAGAGCAAACATAATTGATGTTAATATGTACCAGCAAAAGGTGAGGAGCTCTCCATAAGCTATTTCTATTCAGCCACATCTTGTTAAAAAAAAAAAAGTGATTTTTGACAAATAGCAATCAAACTTTATTACAGCCATAAGACCAGAAGTCAAATGTAAAAAAAAAGAGACAGATAGAGCATAAAAAGATAAAATTAAAAATTAAAACAGTTCTTCAATCACAATGAAAGATGAATGGAACGTATATAAGCACAAAACTTTGCAACCTGGAAGGATATATCTGGATCCTGGTTGGACAAAAGAAGCAACAAATGTTCTCTTCAGCTTAGGATAAAATTATTCCGGGATTCCCTGTGGAGACAGCAGAAAAGGAGCAAATACACTGTGAAGCAGATATACTATTTAAGAATATTTCTTGTATTTTCAAAGCCTAATGGGCAGATATCCTCCAAAGAGAATCCTAAAGAATGGAACTTGCTAATAGCTTTTTAGCCAGATTGATTAAAGTAGTCTCTAAGAACCAGTAGGGCCAAACCCATTAGAAAGAAAATTAACTTTAGTCACAGGTTAAAGACATAGCACCAAGCTCTGGTGATGTCAGCCTTACCAGGTAGACCAGACAGGAAACACAACCAGATAAACTAATTCTGCTTTATTGTAAAGCTACATTAACCGAATCTTGCAAGTCTGAAAGTACAATTCTCGGTCTTCACCTTTACAGCCTGAGAATTTAGGGAGGGTCCCTTCTGAGCCTCTTGCTCCACCCACTATATAGCTGCAGACTATGCTGTATCTTAGATAAGAGAAAGACCGTTCTCTAGGCACCATCTCTTCCCTCCATCTCCCAAGGTCTTTCCCACATACTATTACAGGTATTCATGGAAATTAAGCTCACCTGTAAATGGAAAGGATCTTGAAACTGCAAGCATAGCCCTAATAAACTTAGTTTTAACATTTTCAAGGATGTTAAACTTTGTAAAGGCAAAGACCTGAAGAGAAGCTGAAAAATCACCTTGGATACAAAGAACTTCTAAGTTCTGTGGACAAAGTGTGCTCCCTACAAGTAGAAGAATGTCACTACAGCTTAGTCCCCAACTTAACCATGCTTTCCATTTTATGCAAAAAGGCAAAGTATAATTACCAGCTTCAGGTAAGCCAGGTTCTTAAATCAACTTCCAACTACAATTTAAGAGCTTGGTTTGGTCCAAAATCTTTATCCACTTTGAATGAAACAGCAAACTAACTATAGTAAACACTAGTGTTGTAACTTTCTTTTATAGCAACTTTAAATAATCCCAATCCATTGATTTAGTGTAGTCCCTGAGACAAGTACAGACTATCAATGTGTTTCAGATTATTCAGTTGGAAGTATTAATATTTTATTAATTTCTAATAATATATTAGAATATTTCTCTTATTTAAAATAAAATATTCTGATGTATGAAAAATCTAAGTCAGCTTTAGATATGCTGATCAGCAGTAGTTCAGGTGGCATTTTAAAGAAAATAAGACAAATTCATGGGAAATACATCTGTCATGAGATATTACAGCTCAAATTAATTTAAGCAGGATATTCAAGAAGGATATTCTACGGTTCCTTCAATCTAGGATTTTATAATACAGGTTACTGGTGGCAAGGGAGAGCCAGAGATTGTGAGGCTCCTGCAAGCACTGTTATTGAAAACAGGATGCTAGACTAAATGAATACCTGATTCTAATATAATAGGATACTTTTTAATGTTAAGAAATCTATTAATTACACACTTATACAAGCTTCCTTGCACTATGTCACAGACCAAAAACAAAATTATTTTAGACAAGTTATTACAGTTGTAATGGAAAGAATTATGTTGTACACTATACAAAGTGAGAATCATAAAATTAAGATTCCCTAGTTGAAAAGAGTCTGAGAGATTAGATTCTGACATAACTGGAGTGTAGATAGAATTCAATAACAAGTCATTCATTGTCCACATTGACAATCACTGGAATGTATAATTCATTTTAGAGTTTTACATCTGCTTTAAATTGCTTTATATTTTTACATGATAGAATATTACCACAGCAGCCCAGATACATTAAAATTAAAAATGATATTTATAAAGATATTTTCAGCCTTCTTTATATTTAATAAATTCATGGTTTAATTTTTTAAGTTTACATTTATTAAAGCTATTTTTCACACAAGGCAGTGGTATTTAAGAGTCCTCAGGGTACATGACATATACATACTTCATTTACTTCCTTTTTCCATCAAGATTGTACAGGATCAACATAGCTCCACTGGGGAAAAAAATCTATTTAGCTGTGGAAGGGAAACAGAAAGAGAAAACAATTAGTTTTCTTGGCAAAGATGTATGATCAAAGGCCAAGATGCATGACATTTTAAAACATTCCATTTTTATGGAAAATGTGTTTTTATTTGTTTATTGGATTTCACTGCTGCCTGACTTCAAAATGACTCTGGATAGGTTACAAATTTTCTGGGGATTATATTCATTATCTTAGTCTAAAGGTGATTTTTAGAAAACTAGAATATTGGTAAAGAATTGCATCCTTTCCACCAGTGCAAATCAAAAGAAAAAAGTGAATCTCATTTATAATTGTAGTTATCCAAATATTGATCAATGTGAAAATATCCTCTGTGGAGATCTTTATTTATCTGAACTTTCACTATCCAAAGTTATTCAATCAACACAAAAGCATCAGCTACCTCTCTGCCTGCCTTTGATTCTTTATGAATCTTTAATGAGATTCATTCTTCTATGAATCTTTAATGAGTTGCACTGAGTTTATTTATTTTTTTATTGTTATACTCTGTAAGCCAGAATTGTGTCAGACTGAGGCAGCACATACATTTCATAAATCAATCAATCAATAGAAGATGCAACTGATTAAATGGAGTGACTCATTTTTACTTAAATAACTTAAGTATCCAGTTTTTCTCACTTTTTTCAACTCATTTGCAATGGTGCCTGTAGTAAGTGCACTATGGCAACCACATACCACAGTGTTACTTCCCATGATAATCTATCATACATGTGCATCAGATGAATTTTGGATCCCAAGGCATAGTGGGAAAGTTCTGACAAGACTTTCGTTCTCCCAATAGACTGAATGGCTCGGGTTCTGTTCTAATGTTGAACTTCAGTGAAGTTCTATTTCTGATCTATTTCTTCAGAGCACTGCAGAAAGTGGCATTGTGGCAGCCACAAAGTGAAAAAAAGCTTTAAACTTAGGGGGTGAGAACTGGATTTTAGTCAGCAACAGCTCTATTGGGATATTAACAGAATCTTGCAAGTCTGAACGTACAAATTTACCACTCTCCCTATATATCTCCTGAGTAGTTAGGGTGGGTCCTTCCTAAGTTGCTTTTTCTGGCAGTTATTCTGTTGCAGACTCCATTCTATTTTATCTGATCATTTCCTAGACAGCATCTCTCCCCCCACCCCATCTTCCAAGGTCACCCTCACATTCCATCACATCAGCTTACTATCATTGCAAATTTAATCACAATCGGTTATTTAATTATGAAATTTATACTCAACCCACTTTCAGAAGCTCTGGACACCTAATATAGTATAACATGTTCACAATAAATTGAAACATTAAGAATAACATCAACAAAAACTAAAATTAAATCAAAATTTAAGTTAAAAATGAATGTTAAAAATCATCCAGCAAAGTAAAGGTATCATGCCCCAAATGCTCTACCAAAAAGCCAACTTTCTAAGCTTTGCCAAAAAGTTAAATGTGTAGGAACCATCTATATTTTTGGAGGCACAATAATTTTCTTTTTAAAAAACCAGAACTTAGAACCATACCTCAAAAAGAAAAGGGAAGATGCCAAAACCCATACTTATTTCCTTGGATATTTCATCTCATTAAGCTATATCAGGATTATAAAGCTCAGTTTTTCCCCAATATCACTCTCAATCTCAGCATCAAATTGGATTAAATGATTTCCAGAGTAACCTAAGGGGACGTGGTGGCACAGCGGCTTGATGACGCTGAAAGG